AACCCTGGTAGATGGTGCCATCTGCGAGTTCGAGGGCAGCCAACCGGTCTGAGCCACCCCGGACTGGGATTGAGGCGGGCTTGATCACTCCACTGACAGAATCCATGTTGGGCAGGGTCTCTGGGTAACCAACTACACTACCAAGGTGTGGGCTGGTAGGCAGAGCTGGGTCCTCAAGGGAATTGGGAGACATCGGAATTGGTGTTGAGGGAACAAGTCCTCTCGAGGGACGATCTAGTGCAAGCAGGTCACTCTAGTTCATCTGCGAAAATTGGATTGTTGCAAGTTGTAAAAAGGACCGCAGAAAAGAGGATAGATAGAAAATAAAATATAAAAAAAGGTAAAGAAAAGAAACTGCTTGCTGCAACCAGCTGTGGAGGAGGAAGAGAGGGAAAAGAAAATGAGTTCGGCAGAAAATATTTTCGTGCAAAAAGCTTTTTCGGGGCCCCACTCTTTCTGTTTTCGGTCAATCAGTTTCACCGCAGAGATTTTCCGAAGTTGCTATAATTCCTATTATGGATTATCAAGCTGTATAATTCATTTTTTTTTCTTTTGTATATGGTCAATTGATATGTTTTGTGGATTTCTATGATTCTGTTAAATCCCAATTTTCTATACATGCAGGCGTTACTGCATATGATGCAATGCACGGGCAGTGGGCCGATAACGGTATCATATATCGATGTGGGCAGTATACCCAGCATCCTACTACACATTTATCTTTTGATATGAGATAGAATATATATTATAATAATCTAACCTAATACTGTTCTAGTCCGTATAGGGGTGATCCCTTTTATGTTGCACATGTGGCGAATCTTTCTGACCTATCGAGTTTCGTGATATGTATAGGCTTTCTGTAAGTGCATCCTTTGCAGATTGTTAAAACAGGATTCATGATCCCAAAATTTCCACATCCGTTGAAGTTGAAGGGCAGTAATAATAAATTAATAGTCTAAATATTTTAAAAGATCTCAAAACATATACTATCTATGTCAGTAAAGAATGGAATACCAAATAGGCTTACAACATAAGGGAGGTGAACCGGGGTAATCAGTACAATGACGTGGGAGGGGAGTTAAACATGGCTTAGATTTTCCCCCTAGTACTATCTTTGGACTATCTTTGGACTATCTTTGGATCTTTCGATCTTTGGACTAAATTAATCCCGCTTGGGCCTGGACTTTAAACCTTGAACTTCATTCTCTCTTTTCTCTCTTTCATTTTCTCGCGCCTTCGCGTTTGGCTCCGCAATGATCTAACATTCTGCAAACCTCCCAACAACCTGTTATGCTGATTTAGATCCTGAAATTTCCTCGCCATGTTCGCCTCGCTGCTTCGTCCCAAGCGCCAGCGTGGGCAGATCGAGCAGTCCCCGTTCTCGACCTCCCCGTGGTTTCGCGCCGCGCATAACAACTCGCGACGCGTCCCTCGAGCCGATGAAAGTAGCGATGATGCGCCAGAGCTTCGGGAAATCGACGAAGAGGATACGGAACAGGACTGGGATGAAGAGGAAGAGGACGGACCGCTCGAGTCTACACCTCTACTGCCCATGTTCTCTGCGTCGCATTTGGGTATGAAGAGATCTCTCGGGTACGACGTAGACGGCGAACAATTGACCAACTGATTAGACGCGCTGCCTGTTTACAACATCACCCACGCCATTCGTCCCTTGATCGCTTCCCGCTGCGAAACCACCTTAACATGGGACCAATTACGCTCGCCGCAGGTCTCCCAGTTCCTGATCAAACCGATCCTGCAAAAGATCATGTCGGCCCACATTTCGCGCGCGACCCTCTATGCGTTGATGGCCAATTGTCTACAATTCGAAAGAGAAATACACCTAAGTCCGGGGAACAGCGGGGCAAATCAAACGCGGGCCATGGTCAGTGAGCTGTTGGCGATAAAACTATTGCGGGAATATTCGACCCGAGAATTGATCGATGCGCTATCCTACGAGTTCTATCCACTCCAGGGTCAGGACCAATCCACGGCGCTAGGCACTGGACCCCAGCGGAAACGGGTGGTTGCTGCCCGTGTCTCATGCTTGGAGGTCGCTATTCGCTCGCAGGCCAAACGGTTCTTGGCCCATCCCGTCGTGGTACAACAATTGGAGGCTATCTGGGCGGGGACGGTCGTCTTCCACTCTGCCGCCGACAATCTCCATCGTCCTGTGAACATGAACCAAGGTGGAAACCGAGATTATGGGGCAACAATGGATCCAAATGGGGACATTGCAACCGAGTCCAGCAATAAGACACTCCGGCGATCAGTGACAATCTACAACCCCCGAGACGCATCTTTGTTCAAATTATCACGACTGAGAGTCCCGCGCTATCGACAGTTTCTTTCCACCTTATCCTTTGCAGTACTCTTGGGACTGTTCTTGGCTGTTCTGGAACAGCGAAGCCGCAGGATCACATCCCTGGAGATTGTATTCTGGTTTTGGAGTGCCGGATTCATGCTTGATGAAGTTGTTGGGTTCAATGAGCAAGGCTTTAGTCTTTATCTGATGAGCTTCTGGAATCTGTTCGACGTCGGGATTCTGCTGTTGCTCTTCGCATACTATTGCTTGAGGATATACGGTACATTCCTGACCTACCCCAAAAGTCAGTTCATCGCCGACCAAGCCGTAAGTCTTTCCATCTTTACGAAGGTTCGTCTATCGGCACGTGCTAATTAATTTCAGTTCGATGTTCTTACGGCCACAGCCCCCTTGTTATTTCCGAGGTTGTTCTCAATATTGGATCATTATCGCTACTTTTCCCAACTCCTCATTGCTTTCCGAATAATGGCATCGGATCTGATTGCCGTTTTCGTGCTCATCGTCATCTCTTGCTCTGGCTTTTTTGTCTCTTTCTTATACTTTGGAGACAACAAGTCCCCCAAAGTGGTGGCTTATGGTTTGTTCCAGATGCTTATGGGATTCACGCCAACTGCATGGGCAATGTGGGATGAATACAACTTTTTAGGGAAAACGATCCTGACTGTCTTCTTATTCATCTGTCACTTTGTTGTCGTTACTATCTTGATCACAGTTCTGACGAATTCCTTCATGAGAATTGTCCAGAACGCAAATCAAGAACATCAGTTCTTGTTCGCTGTCAATACCATCTCGATGGTCAAGTCTGATGCCTTGTTCTCCTACGTGGCACCGACAAACGTCATTGCTTGGCTAGTGACTCCATTCCGATACGTGATGCCGTTCCGTGAATTCATTCGGCTCAACCGGACCATTATCAAGATAACCCACTTACCCATACTGTTTACAATTTGCCTCTATGAGAAGACAATTCTCTGTTCTCGGGTCGTTCAGCCAATGGATCTAATTGAACCCACCTCACAAAATGAAACTCCAGCTCATGCCCAGAAATGGCAGCCCAGTCGATTCCGCGGCTTCAGCACCAGTGCATCTGTTTTTAGGCGAGAACCCTCTGTGGCAACATACCAGAAGGATCGAGCGTTGGAGGAAGTGTTTCGACGCCCATACAGTGACGATCGAATGCGAGGCCCACCAAGCGCTGTGCATGAACGCCAGACCAATAACGTCATCAAAAACTGGATGCAGGAGATTGGCTCTGGACCGGCCAATGGACCCGATGATGGGGATTCCCTAGTTGTGGACCATCGTGGAGTGCACCGGCAACGGCCCAATTTTCCATTCCGGGCTAGATTGGCCAACCAACCTCGAAACTTCACCGAAACGACCCGATCGGTAGCTTCGAATCCTGAGGACAGAACAAGCTGTGTTGCAAGCCCAGTTATCCGGCCTCGGCGTACAAGACCCTCTGTCTCGCCCACTCAGAGACGACACCTCTCCCATCATACAGACATGGAGGGTGATGATGAACTTACCAGCAACGATGGTGATTCAAACGATGACAAGCCCTCAGCCCAAGGGTCCACGGGTGAGACAGCTGACTCGGTTGGGGGCGCAGAGAAACCCTCGCCCAAGTTCTACAGCTCTCGCCCATCTACCGCAAGACTTATCTCGCGTCGCAACAGCCCTACACGTCGTGTCAGACATACGCGGAATGCTTCTGGGGTCACCATGCTGTACAATCCCGTTGGATCTCCGAACGAAGAGACGGAAGGCCGGGTCACACCTACACGACCAGATGCTGATTCCTCCGATGGAGAATCACCCCCTGCCACCTCTACCCCGGCAGACCAAGGTACCATGAAACGTCACATTCTAGACGTATCTCGTTCTCGAAACCCTCCGATTGGACTACACCATATGTCCGTTCCCGAGTTGGACAGTGTCTACCTATCTGATCGACCCACAGGGACACGGCCTCGATCATCCCTTCTCTTCGATCTAGGGTCTGACCTAGGCGACAACAAGGCCGTAGCAGGTGGCTTTTCCGGTGCCCTTCCCTCTAGTTTCCAGACCCAACTAGGCTTTCCCCCACCCGTTATTCGTCGTGAAGCCCCAACCCAAACCCAAGACATGCTCAGCAAGTTGGTTCTAGCTCGCATGAACAACATCGAAGAAGGATTCCGTGAGGTGATCAAAGAATTCAAAGATCTCCGCCGCAGCGAGTCCAGTCGCAGTCCAAGCCGACCCGATGAGTCCCGGGGGGCTACACGTGAGAGAAAGAAGCATGAAAAGAAAGACTCGAAGAAGAAAAGCATCAATTCGCCCGTGAGCCGGGCTGGCAGTGGTGGAAGCCCATTCGAAGGACATGGACCCGGTGATGATACCCTGCCGTCTACCTAACTGTTCAGTACATTCTGCCTTTTGGTGGCAACACCGTGTAAAAAAAAACCCCTGTAAATTGATTGGGAGGTTCTTTCGCTTTTCGGATATTTGTTTTTGTCCTGGCGCATTGGCTTTTGTTATGCGGATACCAGATACCATCTCATTCGGGGTACATAGCGGCAAGGTTCAATGTTCATCAATCCACACAAGTACAATGAAATCTTCATATTCTAAACTTTCTATCCAATTCGATGCTCTATTTCGTATAGTTCATGCTCCCAGACAGCATTGTCCCTTAGACGCTTCCTCTGGGTACTTGGTATCCCTTTCGAGGCGGGCGGGCAGTGTGTCCAAACGTTTCTCCTTGCTCTGTTTGATCGTAGTCGGCACCCTGAAACGCCGCTATCTCTTCCTTCGTATTGAGCGTGCCACGCTGGGGAGCTAGGAGGCGAAACATCAGAAGTGTACCACTGACGACCCCGAAAACGCTTAATAGGGCGAGGTTGCGGGATCTAATTTTCTTTTGTGTTAGTGCAGACGAACATCGACTCATCGGGCAGATACTGACTTCATCGGTTTCCGACCTTGATAAACGGCTTCTGCCATGGTAGCCATGATGGGGTTATAGATGGGGTTGTTTTTCGATAGCGCTAGTTGCTTGGGGAGATTCAATTCAATTGCTCAGAAGTAAAATGGAACTTCCACAGCAGGTATCTATATGGAGAGAAAAAAAAAGAATGACATGGGCATGAGCACATGGTGATTAATAGTATCCGCCACTTCTCGCGGGCTTTCCCGAGGTCATAACAGCCCTCTCTTCTTCCTCAGTTATGTCTTGGATACTTTTCCTTGTACTAGACTCTCTTAGTCGGCTTGTTCTAAGATCCAGATAATACCTAGAGCAGCTATCTTTATATTGGTGTCTATCGAGATATATGCATGGTGTAGGCTCCGAAAGAAGCCTTATACGCGTTCTTTGGACCTAGGAATCACCATTGGCTTGTGATGCAAACTGGGGACAAGTTTATGCCAGTACTTCCAAACCATGACCGTGGCAATAGTTGTTGGAACGGCAACCACCCAGTAAAGCCAAAACTTGTTTGACATGCCCCAGCCATTGTCCCCCCCACACTGGAAGAATGACATGCTAAAAATCGACGAGATAAAGGTAGGCGGGAGAAAGGCGAGTGTGACAAATGCGATCGTCTTCATGGCCGAACTGTCGATTTGTGCGGCACGGCCGATCTCCACAGAGGTTTCCGCATTAGCCTGGGCGACAGTATTGAAGGCTAATTGGATCTCGTTCTGAAGCCGTTTCTCGTTGGAGGTTGAGCGATGGCGTAGATTTGCGATATAGCCTCGAAAGAAGTCTAGTTGGTTACGGATGTCTTCGTCTGCGCCCAAGTATGACTCTTTCCGTTTTGATATCATGTAGAGAGCGTAGTGGTTTAGGACAGTCTCGATATTCTGTACCGAGACATCCAGGTTCTCGTTGACATGTATAGCGTGGCGGGCAATGTCATGCATTCTCCTATAATCTGGCCGTCGGGCTATACCTGGATTTGTCTCTTTTTCGATCGCCCTCACTTGGTTCCGGATGGCCCAAACTGCGGCCTCTTCGAGATAGGCTATAATCTCGAAGACGTGCGAGTAGGGCCAGAATGGAATCCTCAACTGAGAGTGAGAAAGAGGTGAATTCGACAGCGACTGGAGAATTGACTCCTGTATGCACAGTGCAGGGTCGAAAAGAAGCAGAAATGTCCGATTAACGGAAGCAACCCATCGGGTGAAGATGTTCAGTTTGATCCACTCGTAAGTCAAGTTGGCTCGGACATGTTTGATTTCGAAATATGCCCATGTATCTATATATTTAGGTTAAGTAAACTTTCGGTTCAGGTCCAGCTGGTGTTACTTACTAAAGCCTGTGACAACCCCTGCTTGACGGGTTGTTTCACAACCAAAATACCCATTGGACGTTTTATAGGGAGTAGACCACCACTTTTCGGGCATCTGAAAGGTTTGGATAAATGCATTGCGACATGGCTGGCATGTACGAATCTTGTTTGCGCTTGCGAATCTGTTGATATTAGCAGTATGAAGGAAAATAGGAAAATACGAGAATACGAAAATATGGAAGCATAACAGAGAGAGTCGACTAACATCAGGCATATTTGAGCATCCTGGGTGATGGAGGGGTTTCCGTGATTTGGGCTGAGAGATTCAAGATAAGCTTGACTGGTTTGCCAAGTCCCATCTTACAAAGAGTTTAGTTTCGTTGTCCACGTATGGAAGCTTCAAATGTCGACACTAACCTTGTCCGCACTGTGACAGTAGCAAGCTGGGACATGAGCAGCTAATTCCACTCATAGCGAAATATGTTGTGGAGAATGTGGTTGAATCGAATTGCAAATCGAAAGTACTTTTGAGCACAGCCCCTCGGATCCACCTACTTATGTACTTAACTAGTTAACTAGTTAACCATGTAGGTTAACATGGTATCTGGGCTGAAATTCATTCAGCCTAACTTTACTACCTTATAAAAGCAAAGAAGTCCGGTGAGGTATAGCAATATTACCATTTTAGACCATAAATTTCACATGTTATATATAGAAAAGTCACTATAGTCCATATTTTTGGCGGATAATTCTTCTCTAGACAATAAGTAAAAGAATATATCTACATATATGTGTGGTAAAGTGAAAGATAACACCTTGTTTGTTATACACGTACTCCGTACTGTCCACGGGTATCTCCAGGCAGCAGAGCCTCATTCCCCATTTCCCCACAACTCTCCCACCTCCCTCCTCCTTCTTCTTCTTCTTCTTCTTCTCCTCTACTACTTAGATAGTGGACTATAATTCTAACATTCTTATTCTCGACTTAACTATTACCTTATCCTCTAGTCATTTGCATCTTCATCTCATCTCCTCTTCATACTGACCTCTCGAACCTCGGTTCAAAATGGAGCTACCTCATCGCCCTCCAAGCTACACCCCTCGAGAAGAAACTAGAAATCTTCGATTCTTACAGAAACAGCAACAGGAACAGGAACCGAATAGTGACATTACAAGAGAATCTGACACCACCTCAACCCTTACAAACACCCCCGACACCCCCACAGCGCTTCCAACAAGTCACTCGGATTCTCAGAAATCACTTTCCAACCTTACAACAATGCCATTTCTGCTTCTTCTCCATGGTGCAGATACCATGGTGTTCATTGATCCTTCTCCGGAGTCAATTCGATCCAAGTTGCCTCTTTCCCCACAAACAGTTCCCCATCGCATCCACAGTGAGAAAGTATTGGCTACAGGCTCAGCCTACTTCAAACGACTCTTCAATCCGCAAATGCAGTCCCGGGTTCGAAAGCGACGCGGCTTGGCCGGCAAACTTCCAGATGGGATTCGATATGTCTTAGACCTCACACCCCCAACCCTAGAGGAAGATGCAGTCATCTTCCTAACTGAGCTTTCCTGCCCTATGAGCATCAGGACATGGGCCTCGAAACAACATACGTGGAGCCTGCCATGGTCGTGTGTTGGCGGACAAGATGACTTGGAACCCTTCGAGCAACTTACACAAATCCCTACAGCATCGCCTGAGCCTGGGGCCGATGCCGATGTCGACCACCTTGAATCTTTGCAAAATGATCTGATTGAAGCTTCAGTCGACCCACAGGGCCAATTTCCGGCATCACAGCCTGAAACAGTAGGGCAGACAGGCTTGCCGGTGGAATACTCAGCCTCCCGTCATCGTGAAGGCATTGAACACATTCTCCACGTTCTGGAAGGACTAAACCCTAGAATAGACACTCCTTGCAAGATGTGGACCTTTTTTGCCCTCGCCAAAATATTTGACGTGGCTACAGTGCCGGCCATCTGCGACCACATCATCTCGTGGTTCTATGAGCTGAACAACACTCGGTTCATCGAACTGCATCCCGAGGTAACATATCGAGTGGCATGTGGTATCGAATCTCCCTGCCTCTGTCGAGACGCCTTTGTCGGGATGGTTGGGGATGAAGCCCTGCTGTACCTGATTCGGGCCACACGATTCAAGCCAATCGGGACCATGGAAAGCTTAGTGCGGAGCCGGGTTTCTGATGTTCTAGACGACACCGAGGTGCAGCGTATCGAATATGCCAGCAAGAGTTTCGGCGACTACGTTGTTCGGTGCTTCTTACAGTTGGCCGGGAATGAAATGCCCTGGTTGGCACACATTGTTGAGTTCCAGAAGCTTACCCGCCATGTTCAACTTTATCCTGCAGATCAAGGAATCATAAGTCAACTAGTCACGACGCTGAAGGAATTCATTCGAGGCCGCATATATAGGGCTTTGATCAAGGGAAGAGACACAAATCGCTCATTCCACGTGGCTCCAGACTTGGTGAAATCCGAAAACCCATACCACCGATGGGGCATAGATGAGGGATTTGTCCTTCAGCGATTGATTGGGAAAAACTTCTGGAATGCGCTAGTATGGCTGGATCTCTATCAAGATGAAGCACCTCGTCGAGAGTCCCATTCTTCCATAGCGGAAATCGGCAATGGCTCCCTAGCCTTTGGTGCCGAAACCGCGGCAAGAATTCGCCAAGTGTCTCCTGGTGAAATTCGCCAGATGAGCCATGTGTTCAACCAAGCGGTTAGGACCAGAGCTCAAGCTCATCACGAGGAGGCTGCTCTGGCTGCGCGACATGCGGGTGGGCATGTTAAGATGGAGATGACCATTAACGTTCGGATGTCACAAACCGTAAATGATGTTGATAGCACCCGCAACAACGGCCCTTTCCTCAATCCCACCCCTGCTCCCACCCCTACCCCGTGTCTTCCACCTGTATCTCCGATGCCACCAAAGACAGAAATTTCAGCAGAAATGTTCGACGAAAGGAAATTCAAAAACGAGGCTCACTCTTTCTTGAGACAATACGCACTAGAGATGCTGCAGCAATCTGGCCCACCCACATCTATGCGACACGAAATCACAGATACTCTAACCTGCCTCACCTACAATGAATTCCAATACCTACCGCTATGGGCGGGAGGGAATGACGATGAAACGGGTGGTGTTTTCACCGACTTGATCATTCCCGCCATGGACGTCGGTGGATTCTCAGCTCCTGGACCCGCCGTGCACACTGGCAGTGTCGCCTCCACCAACGATTCTTTCAGCGAGATCAAGGCTAATGACACCCAGAGTACCATTTATGGTGCATCTCACAACGCCACTTACAGTCACGCGTCGGATATCGTGTCTGTGGACTCTACCGACTATTCCCAGTTTAGACGCAAACATGAGAATTATGAGAGTCAGGATGAGGCGCAGTCGGATACTTACATGGAGGTTACCGAGTATGATGATGAGATATCATCCCTGGATTTTGGTCTGACTACCGACGATGGTGAATACGAAACACAGAGTGATGGCACCATTACCATGGATATGGGACCGCCTAAGCCATCTTTTACTGGTATCTCTGAGAATATTAAAATGGGCAAGGTGGAGGACGAAGGTAATGAGACTGAGTTCGAATTCGTCAATGTCTAGAACTATGTTTAAAATTCCATGCTGGTTTAGTTTCTTTTTTTGGCTGAAGTTAGAAAAGCATAATGTTTGCTCGAGAAAGGGCATCGCTTAGAATGGAATCTCTGCGACTTGTATTACATCCGCAGAAGCTATCCGGGCTATTTTGTAGGCAAATCTATAGCACATTTATCTACAGGCTTTCTTATACTTCTTGCTTTCAGTCTCCAATTCGTCCTCCAATGCGGCGACGTGACGTAAGCCCCCCGGGGTCCATCTCTGTGACACACTTCTCAAATCTTCTAGCGCTCGAACGGTATCAGGATGATCCTTCCCAAGTTTTCTTTCTCGGTTGGGCGGAAACCGTCTTCTCGAACTCTTTCGCAGCATCCGCCTTGTTCTGCGATTCATTTATGAGGTTGAGAGTGGCCATGGCGTACATGGTGGCTGAGTGATCTTTGCCAATGGTCTCTTCCATTAAACGTAGAGCTCGGGATGCTAGAGCTCGAGCCTCGGGCAGTAATTTTAGCATCTCATGGGTCACCGCGAGATCGACTGTAGCGAGTAGCATGTACACATGACGGTCCATTCCAGCCTTTGTCATCTCCCTTAGTACCTTTTCCCCGAGACCCTTGGCCTCTTCTAGGCGGCCTTGAATTCTGATTGTGTAGCCCAGGTGACACATGAATCTAAGAGTTTCTGGATGTGTCCTACCATGCACAACCTCGCTGGTTCTCATTACCTCCTTTGCGAGATCCTCGGCATCTGGCCATCGACCTTGATGTTCGTATATAGTTGCAAGGCGTTCCATAGAGCTGAGTATTAAAGGGTGATTCGTACCAAAGGACGCTTGACAAGTAGTGAGAACCTCCCTTGCAAGTTTTTCGGCATGGTCTAGCTGCCCTTGGTTTCGATGCGTTGAAATGAGGCTTCTTTTCCATTTTAATAGCGATTTATGCGTTGGCAATAGTACTTCCTCGCCGAGGTCCACTAGCTGGCGCACAATCAATTCTCTCTCTTTGTGGCGACCAAGCCCTGCATATGAGGTAGATATGTTTTCCATAGCATGCAAAGTCGATAAATGGCTCGGACCAAGCTTCTGCTTATTTTTCTCAAAAATCTTTAAATCAAGCTTCAGGGCTTCGGCCCAATTCCTCTGGTCCCTGTATAACTGCGCGATTCTTCTCATATTCGTCAGTGTAGGGAGGTTGTCCTCGCCGAGCTTCGTATTTTCGATCGCCAGCACTTGCTCTAAGAGTTTTGCGGCCTCCTCCAATTGATCCCCCTTCCAGTAAGTTGACACGAGCTTGTTCATGCTTTCCACAGTCGATGGGTGTTCTGGCCCCAGAGTCATCTTATTGTTCTCGATTTCTTGGAGTTTCTTGTCCACTTGGTCTTGAGTTACTGGGTAATTCTCCGCCTCGGGGACTTCAAGCTGGTCGTCTGATTCCGAGCCGTCACTCGAAGTTTGGCCTCCCTCCATCACTGCAGATCTTTGATTTATTGATATGGACTTCGATGATGTTATCGATTTATCGTCAATCACCACAACTTCTTGGGACTCGTTTGACTCTCCATCGCGGGTTGCGTGTTCATTTTCTTCTGACCCGGGACGGGGCAGAACAAAAAGAGACAGTTGCTGAAGATGTCGAGCTAGGTGCTGCTGAAAGCGAATCGGATTTGAAATGGGGGGTTTGGTGCAAAGGGGACATTGCTGCGCAGAAGATGTAGATCGTTCAGACAGACTTACCATCGCCTGGTGTTGATCTTCAGGAAGGACCCCGGCATGAGCATCCCGAAGATGACTACGGAATAAAGCCTCGGACTTGAAAGTGAATGAGCATAAATTACAAATCCATTCTCGCCGATGGAATTGTCGTTCATGTTCACTCCATTCTGTGTAACTGTCGTAGAGCTGGTTGGCTTTGACACAGTCTCCAAATGTACAGATATAGGGCCGCAAGTCGCTGTATACATGATATTTCCAGTCTTCCTCCATATCCTCAAGCTGAATTGTCTGGCGACAGTATGGGCAGAAAAATGGTTTACTCTGGACTATATCCACCACGTCTGCTGGCGGAGGTGGCGGCATCAAGACATATGCCTGGTCACCGGTTGTCGAGGTCGTTGCGGAGAATTTTGTTTGTCCCGAGTCAGATCCCCCATCGTTATCGTGATGGTAGATTGTTGAAGCGGTGGTATCCTGTGTCCATTTCGTCGAGATGGTTCGGGTTCCTGTGTCCTTGATTGAAGCCCTTGGAGCCTCAATAGCCTTTTGCACGGCCACATCAACGTATCTGGAGATCTTTTCGGTGTGATCTTTGTGGTATGCAAGAAGTTGACGGCGTCTTGTGTTTGCTCTGCCCAGGCGTTGAGCGAGTGTACTATCCCGTGGAATGTTGTATTTGTCTGACACATGCTGAATGTCATAGAATTCAAAATGACCAAGTTCAATGCGCGACGCTTGAGCTGTGCGATCCCGATGTGCTGGGTTCTGAAGAGTCAAGGAGAATTTGTAACTGTATTGTGTGAGCGGCAGTATTCTTCAAACTCAGAAGTAAACTCACAGGCTGGTAATTGTATATTGGATATCGAGCATATATTCGTCCAGCTTCGAATACTCACCACTCTCTGCTTTGAGCTGGTCCCAAAACCCATCCGAATCCGAATCATCTGCGTCCAACTCGTGCATTTCGGATCCAGCAGATGCATCGTCAAAATCCAAGGACTCTTCACTTTCCGAGAAAAAAGAGATCGCTAGGTACAATAAGTAACAATTCAAGTACTCGGATTAAGGAGACTTACATACCTCCTTGGATGGCTTCTGTAATATCCCTGATATGGTTTTGAACCTCTCGATGTAAATCTGGGGCCTCTCGAAGCCGGTGGTCCAAAGACAACCTGTCTGTATGTTTGCGATATGCACCGAAATTCCCAACCCACACCCGTAACATTCCCATCTCATCCTGGACCTTCAGACGGATCTCATTCTGTTCATTGGGGATGGAATCTAGCAGTTTGTGGAAGTCGCGAATGCATAGCGCAATGAGGGAACTCGTTGATGGATCGCTCTCTGACTCCATCTTAGACACTAACCCAGGGCCAAGAAGGATGTTGAGACGAAGATATCTAATTAACACAGTAACCGCTCACAGAGAATATGCAGCCATGAAAAGATGAGATGAACTGCCTGTCTTGGTTGGGCGCGTGATTTCCATAGCGGGGTTAATGAGCTGTCCATACACACGTCGACATGCAGGTAAACGCCAACCTCATCTTTCTTCAATGTCCCTTCCTCTTCTTTTCTTCCCCCCTATTCAAGTCATTCGCTTGGGACAACACAGATCTATGTCTTTCTCGATATGAGTGGCTTCGAGATAGTTGGGGTTGTTCTGGCTGTCTTTCCAATTATTACCCAAGGTCTCAAGTTCTATTCTGAAGGAACGGGCTTAGTCAACGACTTCTTTCATTATCAGCATGTTTTGAAACGCATTGGTCGAGGTCTGGCCCGTGAGCAGACCAGCTTTAGCAACTCTTGCAGGCGATTCATGGAAGACGTTGCCAATCAATGCGGAGTTGGGGAAGAAGAAATAGCCGAGATGATGCAAGATCCAACAGATCCCCGATGGCGGGAAGGGGATCTTGTCAAGGAACATATCTTCTGTCAAAAGTCTGTGCAGCAATACATAGATACGGTGGAGGATATGAACGAGGAGCTGGCGAAGATCAGAGACTTGACTGCAATAGACGGAGATAACGGTCAAGTAAGCATGTCATCAATTGGCTTCGCTGCCGAGTCTGACTTGAAATATCGCATTTAGTCCAAACCCCTCGATAAAAAGTCTCGTCGGCGGCAATGGAAGAAGATCATCCTCGTGCTCAAGAAAGATGATATCACCCGACACCTTGAAGAAGCCGGACGCCTGAACACCTTTTTGGCGCGATTAACAGAACAAAATCAGCCTATAACGAGTACACGTCGTATTTCACGCAGAAGTACTAAGCACTACGTGCGAATCCGCGCTCACGCCATCGATCTGTATGAGATATTTCAGAACAAATTTCCAGCATCATCTAGCTGCAACTGCATGCTGCGGCACGACGTGAACATGAAACTTGAATTCCGCAGTGCGAAAACTACCGCAAAAGGCCTCTATTTCCACGCAGTATTTACTTCCAATATTGCGTTTCCTTCAAGAAACTGGCGAGAGATTGAGATGGAGCCTTGGAAAACTGATGAAACCAAACTGTGCCAGGACACTGAGCGTCATGCCCAAGTGAGGTTTACCGATCCTCCCTCCCAAACGGCATCCAACTATGGAGTCATCTCCGACCTATGCGCAACCATAATAGAGCCATCATCATCCCGGGATTGGCTGGGGTTCATTGCAAGTAAGAAAGGCCGACAGCATCGTATCAGGTCTATGGAATACCATCAGAGGCTGCTAGACTTCAAAAACATTGATACTGTATCCCTGGCCCAAGTTCTGCATGATAAATCATTCCGCCAAGAGCAACGATCTCGGCTGGGGTTAAAGTTAGCTTCTTCGGTGATGCAGCTGCATACTACAGATTGGTTGACGGATTTCTGGAGCAAAGATGATATCTTGTTCCTACAATCATTGGATTCCACGGTTGATTTCGATGGCCCATTGATTCGACGCAGCTTTGAAACTCGAAATATGGACTTAACTTCTATATCCCACAGTCTTCCCAGGCCCTGGTTGAATGCATCGATTCCATGCCTATTTTCGCTGGGGATCGTTCTCTTGGAGCTTTGGTACCGAGAAGTTTTTGAGAACCTAAAAAATGAAGCTGAAAGAAAGATGGTATGTATCGATCTACAACCACCTTCCAGGACCTATGGGTCTAATTCACAGTCTAGCCACCAGAATTCTCCGACCCTTTGGCAGCACGACGCTTGGCCAACGAGATGGACTCTGGTCCGAACTATAAGAACAGTGTCTTGCGATGTATATCTGGCCTCGACGCGGTATACACATCCCTGACAGAAGAAAAGTTCCAAAATGAGGTGGAAGAGAAGATTCTCTCTCCTTTGGAAGAGGACTTGAAATTTTACTGCAACATAACGTCAATAGAGGATTGTATATAACATAGTTGGGTTTGACTAGCAGGTTGCAAGCCCCATTTTCATATAATACGACTGAAATGCGCAAGAAACAATGATTTCAAATGGTGTTTCAATAATTTTCACATAAGAGACCTCGACACGAAGGCTACTATATAACCGAGGGCGCCGCGTTGAGGTGGGCTGACTCAGCGGGATTGCGCAGACAGGCAAACTGCCCCAATGCAAGGTCCTCCAGCTTTCAAGACCTTTCAAATTACTGAGCTCCTATATCTGAGTTCTACAAGCGCTTGAAAACTGCAGGATCTGCTATCACTTTTATTTGGTCCTCTTTTCTGTGACGATCCCTCTATATTTGAGGTCACGGCCACTGACATCATATCACTATGGCTTCATCATCCAAGACGAGCTCTTTGCTCTAGTAAGTCTTGTTGTCTAACATTTGAGTGATGAAAGAAACTGTTCCCAGACTAACAATATAATCAACCTCAGCTCATGCATCGCGCATCGCACTACCATTCTGGCCGAACACTCCTCGCCGGGCAGTTCATCGAGCGCCGCCTCGTCACTAGCCTCCATCATCCTCCCAAAGATCACACACGACAAGCCACAAAAACTCACCTTCACCCACGAACGACTCTTTGTCCATTACATTGCCGACTCTCCAACGGGCAACCAATCCGACGATGCCAACCTCGCAGAGCCCAACTCACAGGCTCCCCTGAGTTTCGTGGTAGTTGCCTCGGCAGAGCAAGGCCGCCGCATCCCATTTGCCTACCTCCTAGAAATGAAGCGCAAGTTCCTGACCACCTACGAACCATCCACAACCGAGTTCGGCTCACTGCCCGCCTACGGCTGCGCTGCCTTCAACAATGAGCTGCGCTCTCTCCTACAAGCCTACAACACCGCCCCGCCAGCAGACTCGCTTGCGTCAGCCCGGCGCGAGATTGACAGCGTCCGGGATATAATGACTGAGAATATCGAGCGGGTCCTGGAGCGCGGCGAGCGCATCGATCTGCTGGTTGACAAGACTGATCGACTTGGCGGGAGTGCGCATGATTTCCGGATCCGTAGCCGGGGACTGCGGAGACGGATGTGGTGGAAGAATACTAAGTTGATGATTATGATGGTGGTCGTCGTTATCTTCTTGCTATATCTTTTTATTGGTATGGGATGTGGACTACCTGCATGGGGAAAGTGTGTTGGACACTAGCACAGTTTCAAGGTGGCTAGTCGAACATTTCAGCGAGCGTGCTTTTTTTTCCCCTCGAATATCCAGTTTCTAGGGTTGCTTCGGTTTCCGACATTCTCATGAGACACGATGTACTCGTTATCTGCTTTCCTGCATTTTCTGAATTTGCTCTGTTTTTACTCGGGTCATTTTCCTACTCAGCTTTGTATATTATAGCTATCTGTTTTCCATTCTTTATGGTATTGAAGTACGCATATATTTTGTCGAACTTGTATGATAGGCATGACTTAGTGTCTAGCTCCTGGGTTTGATATGTTTCACACAATTCATCTTGTCAAGGCTTTAGCTATTGTAAATGGTGACTTTCTTGTTTGTTAGTGTAAAAGTGGCAGTTTATTAAATAAGGCGAAAATTTCATGAGATTGGTTGTTCGATTGGTTTTCAGTTTTGAGGCCACTGAGCATCCCGACAAATATATTTCGGATCCAGCTTTGATATGTATCTACATATGTAGTGCTTTGCACCAGTCAAATAACTAAAATTAATACCAAAGTTGTCAAAAGTCCGATGATTTTACTTCAGTGCACATGTAGTCAGATAGAAAAACTACTAGCATTGAGGGCGCATTTCAACGTTAATGTTCATATCCATAGCCATTTGCCACTCTATGCGATATACAGCCAGCTGAAGGATATAACTGCCTAAGATGAATAAATGCAAAACCTAGAGGCAATATTGAAGCAAAGAAAAGTAAATCAATTGATACATAGGAAATATGTAGCTATTCACTCCCACACCGAAGACATAGAACCGATTCCTACAGTCTACAACCTACATACCCCATTTTGGAGTAAGATATGTACCTCACCATCAAACCCACTTCGTCCTTGCCCGAAAGCATCAGAGTGAGTCTGCAGGTAAGACAGAAACCACCAGCTTCCCAGTAGCCCTGTACATTGTCTACGCCAAGTGTTTACCTCTTCAACCATAGGGTCCGTCCTAAAAGGCGCGGGATTGACGAGGAGATATATCAGGCGACACCTCTAGTTTCCAATATGGAGGAATTGGAGGGAAAAACGAGTGGAGAAAGGTTGCTACAGAACCAAGCAAGCGAAGAAAAGAAATGCGAGGCTGGACGAGCTGCAAACTGGACACAGAACGAAATGCCCTGAAGATTGAGCTGTACCATTCGCGGACGTTCCTATGTGCGCGGGAGACGTAAGGAAGAAGAACGCCGGCTGCGCAAAGTGAATTGCGTTGCGAGCACTGACTCCGGATAGAAGAAAAAGGAAATTTTGTTCATTTTTCATTCATCGCAATGCACCTGGTTTCAGAAACTTTACCCTGATCATAGCAGGCTGGAAACTCCGTTTCTCAGAGTCCTTCAAGTGAACCCGCGCCATCAACCGCCATTGCAACATGAACCTATACCCCACACGTAAAGAATCCCTTAAGCCGACTTGCTCTTGACAGCCTCACGACCCTTGGCAATGCGCTCGATGATCTGCTCACGGTCCTTGTCGAGGTGCAGCTTGGTGATAACGACCTTGGAAGGGTGGAGAGGAATGGGAACGCTCTGGCCGTTGCTCTTGTCGCGAACGATCTAAAACCGCAGTAAGTATCCGCCGCAGCAACTGTGATGTAAATTCAAATCGTACCTTCTCGACGAAGATGGAGAACTTGAGACGGTAGACGTTGGTGATCTTTCCCTCACGTCCCTTCTGGGAACCTCTGGCAACAACTGCATAAAATAATCAGTTTCAAGATCTCAAGGTAATTTTCAGAGTGCATTAAGAATGAAACTTACCGACTTCGTCGTCCTTGCGGATGGGAATGGAGCGGATCTGTCACAGAACGCTGGTTAGAATCATCGTGTATTGTGTCATGCTGGCGCCTGCATTGTCCGTAGTTTCCAATCCCGAAAACTCGACTCGAACAGACCCAGATTCGATTTTGGAGGGTTCATGTGGTACATACTCCGTACTTCTCCTTGAGTTCCTTGGAGACGGGGGCGCTGAGAATGACACGGCGCTCGCTGGAGGGGGCCTGGAAGTGTGCCTTGCGAGACTTGCTCCGCGAAGAGGCGATACCTGGAGGAGACACCATCAGTATTGAAGGTTGAAGATTGGCGAAAATTCGTATCGATAGGGGTTGCGAGCAGTGGTAAATCAAATCGGCGCAAGGCGAGATGCGAGAGAGTACGCACCGTGGGTTCGGACAGCCATCTTAAAGGTCGTGAGTGGGAATTGAACGGGTGTCGTTGGCGTTGGTCGAAGAGAGGATCTTTTCTGGTGTAGCCGAATATTCCAAGTTGGAGCGGGATTGTGTGCTTACTAATTTCCCGCTAAGCCATCTCAGGGCTTGCAACTAGACACCCGATCCCCAAGGCACTAAGAACCCGTGATATGATTGGTGGATGACGGGCTCCACATCCGACGCGCTTCTCAATGCGCTTCAACAACATCAGGCCAGCTCTTTGGCCGCGCTTTGTTCGGGATTGAGAAGTTTCCTTGATTCTTCCGTTTAGGTCTCAATTTGCGTATGATAGCTTATTTGGGTCTATTTTGGTGTACCCGGTATTCGGCCGCGATTCGATCCCTCCACGCGCAACGGATTACTACCAAGCCTTTTCTTCGCTCGGTCCTACAACATCTCCAGCCATGAGATTCTAGCCGCCAGTCACTTTCAACACAATTTGAGATGTCTAGCGGAGGAATGGATGGATTCGATTGGCTCCAAATCTTTCTTCCAGCCGATAGTCAACCCGACCACGACCCCAATCCCAACAATGAGGCTTATCAAACGCATCCGGCATTCCACGATGCGGAGGTAGCTAGAGCGGCCGTTATGCATCAGCGGACACAGAATTCATATTCATTCCTGAGGTCAACCAATGCTAGGGCGAATCATGCCTTAAATCCCGCCCAGGTGTACTCACAAGCCTCGGGTGGACAATATGGAGGAAATAAACACCAGCAAACCAGCGATATTAAACCCAACAATTCTCCTTCTGGCCACTCTGTATATCCAACAGATCGCTCTCATAATATAAACCAACAGCCAATTCCTCCCGTTCCGTCCCAACAGCACTTGAATGCTCAGCCATGTGAGGGTATGGATCCCGCTCCCTACCCATGGAGGACTTTCAACTTTACACCAAACTACTCAGATGCCTATCAAAGCACCCAGAGGGCCCATGAAACTGCAATGCCGACAGTCCCTGCTCAGAGAACAAACCAACCCACGGCACGGGCTGTGCCCACATTACAAAGCTCGTATCAAAGCTACTCGGCAATCCCAAATCAGAATTCCCAGATGTTAACGCAACCGCACATGGAACAAGGAATGATGGCACAAGTTCAAAGAACACGCACGCCGGCTGCATCGCAAAGTAATCCTTATAGCCACCCCACCATTCCATCCCACAATGACCAGCGACCCCCTCATTCCACGGCAGCGCAAAGAACACGGCCTACGTCCCCAGTTCAAAGGACACATACTCCGGTGACAAGGCCCCAAACATCGCAAAGACCATACCAACGCCACTCTACGACCTCAGCCCAGAATACGCAGAAACAATCCTTTTTAGCTGCAGCGCAAAGACCTTGGCCGGGGCCGCCAGTTCAAAGGAAACGTACACCAGTGGCAAGGGCCCAAGCATCGCAGAGCCCATACCAAAATCACTCCCCCGTTCCAGCCCAAAATGTCCAAAGATCATCTCACCCGAATGCACCGCCAAGCTCCCACTCCTCGATAGACAGTGAGTTTTATACCCCTTTGGTCTCGCCGAAGGGATTCAAAACTTCTGCAGCACGCAACACACTTGAATCCCGCCAGTCAATCACACCAGCCAAAATCACTCAAGAGGCTTCCAATCCACGAACACAGAGTCCGGCTACCAATTCCACCATATCAAACCAAATACCACCTCGGCCTTCATTTCACAATCAAGACCATTTGCAGTCAACTGTGCCCACAACGCATAGAGTCCACAGTCCTGTAATCTCACAGTTTGTCTCAACCCGCAGTCCTTTTCTCTCTCTTGTCTCTTCAGCTCCTACCTCTACCTCTACTCCGGCACCTCCAACACAGACAACTATTGTCTCACATCACTTAGACAAGGGCTGGACGCAGGAGAAAGAAGGGACTCAGGATAAAGCAGCACCTACTTCACCATACCAGGCACCGAATCAGGCAAGCCAACGGCCTCCGATCTCCCAACCAAATGAACAGCGCACACCGGTGGTACCGTCGGCCTTTGCGTCACCCACTTCCCCTGCGGCCTCTCACCTGAGGCCTTCTTATAACGCTTCGCATATCTCAGGACCTCGACGAGGTACCTTCTCTGACTCGGCTGTGACACAACAGCCTGCTGCGGGGAATACGCAGTCGCGAGGTTCCCCACTGTCGGGACCTAATCGCCATCAGAAAAAGCGGTGGGTTCCAACCGAAGAGAATTCGATGCTACCCACAAAGATGCGGCGGTTGGACAATGGTGAAAGTCAAACCATGACTCTCCAAAACGACCCATCAGCAAGTAGCTCGGTACCAGGGGCCCAAGTTTCTACGGAATATGCTCGGCCTCGATGCTCTGGTAAATTTCTTAAGAATCGTGACGACTTGGTCCAGCCGATAAGATGGAACGATGCACTGCCCAAGGTCTCTTATGATCCGACCACGATCGCGCGGGATGTACTGATTGCTGCGGCAAGACACCCGACGGAAAAGCATCTAAATCATCATCTTGAGCCACTACGTCGTAATTTCACCAAAATCGACTACTTTGCAAACCTAGCAACGTTTCGTTGGGACCTGGTGGATGTCAAGCAGCCTGAAACGCAGGTCGATCGCGTGCCATCGGTTCCTGCACCCCACACGCCACCTCTTCAACCACCTCATCCTCAATCACCTCAGGCAGCTCGGCACTTAATTGCACGTGACTCCACCATTACATATCATCACGTGACTACCTGTGACTACGCTCCGATGACGTCACGTGACACATCGCCAAATCGCCAAGTCGCAATGGCGGAAAGGATCGACGCGCGCGCCCCTCCAGGCGGTTTGAGCCCTTGGGGTATTTTACCTTTCAAACCCCCTACTTATCATTCTCCTCAACGCATTTTCTCTTCAAACTTGCCTTCTGGACTTCCCAGGATTGATTCTGTTCCTGCATCCCCGAAATTCTCATCCCACCAATCCGTCCCCCTCCCAACCCCCCCACCGCCGCAACCGCAACCCCGACCCCAACAACGACGCTCCTCGACCACCAACAACCCAGCTCCGCCCAAACCCACGCCTGCCACAAAACAACCGACCCCTAAATCTACCACAAAGCCTAGACCTCAAGGGCAGACGGTCAAGAGCCAGCCAGACTCTGGTCGGGCCGTCAAATCCCCAGAGGCAAGGCGTCTTCCCCAGCCACAGGTTGTCATTCCACTGTCGCCCGTCAAGATGACCACGAAGAGAAGACCAGGGCGCTATCCCAAAAATGCAGTAGCCAACATCGAAGTTGCTATTCACCGTGAACCACCAGTGCATTACCAAATCTTCCCATGCAAATGGGAGGAGTGTACTGCAGAACTGCACAACATTGAGTCCGTTCGAGCTCACCTTATCAAAGTTCATATCCCACACACTCTCGTTTGCAAATGGCAAGACTGCGGCAATAAGACACCAATGGCTGCGGCTGATATGTTTACGCATCTGTCGCTCCAGCATGTCTCAAAAATGGCTTGGGAGCTTGGAGATGGACCAACGGTGCCAGTAACTGGTGAGAATTATAACTAGCTTGCGCTTGACGCTCCTCCAAGGGGCTGATCTACACACGAAGTTTGTTTATTGATTTGAAGTAAATGTCTAATCGGATGATTATTCTAGCGGAAAACAAATCGAACCACCCTTCCGTTCCGGGTGACCGCAGTGCCCGCAAAGGGACCATGGTCTTGCCGGTGGATGAGCACCAGGTTAAGGCCTTTAGCAAGGCCCATAGGAAATCGACGGAGAAGAACAAGGCACAAGCCCTGCTCGAAGCCGGTCAACACTGGAAGCAGCAGATCGGTCCTGAGATGGACTGGAGTGACCGCCGCCTGTCGACACCGGCTCGACAGAGCAACGTGCATTGTGGCGAAATGGCGTTCGTAGGGGAGAACTGATGTGTCAGATCGACTTTTGTGATACGTTTGCTTTCCCTTATCTTTCTGGGATTCGAGTTCATTGTATCGCAACCGGCTTGCATGGGAACTCGCGTTGAAAATCATATCATAATATGCCATCTTGCTATGGCAGGCAGGTCTCATAATATTTCGCTCACGATAATTTGCACCTGGATGACACCTCGAGAGATTCTGGTTTATCTATGAGATCTATACAGTGATTCTCCAGGAACCGCACAATGTCAAATTACGCATTGATGAATAAAGCCATGAGATTGGACTGTAGTGTACAATTGGCTTGTGCCTGACTCGCTGGTAAAAGTAAAATCAAATGATGTAGGCACTGGTATCTTGGTTCTCCGTCGGATTCTTGTATTTCCTCCCACGCGTTGTAAATCGGATTTAATTCTCCTTCCCTGAAGCCGACACCTTGTCTGCGGACACCGCTGGCGCAGTACCCACCGCCTTAATCTGGCTTGCTGATTCGGTAGACTCAGGTTCCTCGTCGCTGGAATTGACATCAAGGAAGTGGTATAGGACAATCATCATCATGGCGCAGGAGCCAAGGAAGATGGCAAGGCGGTAGAGGTCGTCGTCGGAGATCATTGTGAATGGAGGCCAAGGAGAGACGGTGTGAATGGCCACAGATGGGATTCAAGGACAAAACGACCGTCGAGAGACAATGCGTTAAGGGATAGACGATATAATGGGAGAAGACACGTCGGCCAGTAGTTTGAGTGACGCTACACAGTGTAGTTGTGTAATGGTGGGTGTCCCAAAAGCAGAATTTTAAGTTCTCTTCTTTAATGGATTGAGAGGATTGAGAGGATTGACGAGACTGAGAGGAAGAGAGTCAAGAGGGAGATGTGACGAAGTAGTTGATAAGGTGCTGGAACATTGAAATGAGAGAGCTATCTGGTAATGTCAGTACCCAGTCCACGTTACCGTGTAATGTATTTAGTGTATTTAGTGTATTTTTGCAATGTATTCGGTACAAAGTAACTCTGTAGTAAACGGCTTGCATCACCACCTTCCAAATAACTATGTACTTGTACTTTACGTACCTTACGTACTTTGGTACTTTTGCCTCTCTTCTTACAATATACCTTCTTACCTCTCTACTCATCTTCTCTTAGGAATCTCCTTCTATAAAACTCTTCCCCAAGAGAGAGAGAGAGAGAGAGAGAGAGGAACCCTCCGGTTTAAGTGCTCCTTTTAAGTGCGTAATTCGAATTACCATTTCCCCTCGGAACATTGGAACATCTTCAATTCTTCCCCCCTTCTTCTCTTCCCCTCTATTCACCTTCTTCAATCAATTCTCCTTCCCCCCTTTAGTCATTCCTATATGCGTCTTTCTTCACCATGACCGATTTGCAGGCTACTTCTGGGCCTAAACCGGGTCCCGCATTACTGGCGTGTCTTCAGTGCCGTCACAAACACCTCAAATGCGATGGCAGGACTCCCGTCTGCAGCCGATGTGAACAGGCCCGATCCCCTTGTGAATATACCAAGTCTCGGAGAGGTTACAAGGGTCCATCGAAAAAGCGCCGTGCTAATTCGCCGGATTACTTGCCCATGGACCCCAACCCAGAAGGCATGCTCGATGTCCCCGTGGATTGGACCTTGCAGGCTGGTTTCTCTTATGCGCCAACCATACCATTACCCTCCTCCGCATCGACTAGTCCTGGACTGCAGGTTCTTTCGACGCCAATTGCCCCTTCCGCTCGCCCGATCAGCGGACCGTTGACTCCCGATTCTTCCTCTGCTGTTGGCGGGGATGGCTATCTGCTCGATATCTACTATAATTATTTTCACGCCGCCCATCCAATCCTACCACCCCACCGACTCCTATATTGCAATGTGTTCCCCGCATACCTGGAGCAGGTAATGAAGTTCATCGGTGCCCACTTCACCCCGGCCGCCTCGAGTGACACGTACCGGCCTACGGTTGTCGCAATGGTCCAAGAACAAAATGTGTCGGTGGAAAAGGTGCAGGCGCTACTTCTGCTGGCGATTGTACTTCACTCAGACAATGAGCGCGGCGAGGCCGGCATTTGTCTAGCTGCTGCAGTAGATTCGGCCTTCGAGCTTGGTATGCACCAAGAGACGTTTGCGATCCTTGCAAGCAATGGGGATCCAATCCGCGCCGAGTCTCTGCGGCGCACCTGGTGGGAGCTCTTCGTAATCGAGGGTCTCATGACTGCCCTCGGTGTGCAACGCGTATACCGAACTAATCAAGTACCGCTCGAGGTCCCACTTCCATGCGAGGAGCGGATTTATCACGATGCCCTACCACCGCCACCATCTCCGACCATTGCGCAATTTGACGAGCGTGTGTTCGCCGAAGAAGAGCGTGACTTCTCCTCATACTGTTATCGTATTGAATCCCTACGGATTCTCGGTCGTGTTGTGGCGATCCAGGATATGACCGAAGGCCAACAGGACCACGTGGAAGCTATTGATGCGCGCATTAGTAGTTGGGGCCATCACTTGCCAGAGTCCAAGTTAGAACTCTTGCGACCTGACGGGAGCGTAGATGAGATTATGTTCCAGGCGACCATGATGTTGAACGGCGCAGCCATCTACCTCAACTTCCCGCGGTCCGATCTTCTTTCATCTCCCGCTGTTGCCGCGGAAGTCATCTGTGGCCACCATGGCCCGATCAGTGTGCCTGCATTCTCCCACAACGAGCATGCCATGAAGGCCGCCAAGGCTGCCCGAGAGCTATCCCGCCTTGCTGCCTTCCGTCTGCCCGTTATTAAACACACCCCATTTTTCATCTGTGCGCTCACTATGAGCTCCATTGTCCAACTGGCCACCTGCTCTGTCAAAGCCGGTCAAATGCCAGACCCCAGCCGCGACCGTCTGTCCTTGACGATCGGTGTTTTCAAGTCGTTGGCTCGCACCTGGGCCATTTCCCAGTCGATCATGCGGCAAATCAAAGCCGTTGCACGAGATGTGATGGATTTGGGACTGCGCCCAACGATGGACTCGCTAGATCTGACCACAGTGTTAGATAACAGTCAGTTTTGGGTGGATCAGGGCCCGAGCTGAGCAAAGAAGATATAACTTACCTCTCCCATCCCTTCTCGCCCGACGTTTCATACCCGTGTCCGATATTTGCGACTTTTCGATAATCGTTAAACCAAGTCAAGAGCGTGCTTCCGGGCCCAGCGTGCTCACCCTTTGATCAAAAGGTTGTGTTTACCGCGTCCACCAACTCCCCTTGCAGGGCTCTGGCCCTTTCTTGCTGAGCAGACTCAAGTGCGGAGTGTATCCGATTCCTGCCCGATTCTTGACCGGGATACCTGGAGGGAAATGAAATGGTGTTTTCCACCGGTATCTGGCTTTGTATATATCATACCCTGTAATTTGTCTCTTTACCTTTTTAGACCTGTCAAGGTAGTCCAGACCGAGACCATGGACTACGTACTATCTGGAAGAAGATGGGCTATCTATACCATAGGCTTAAATCTACATATTCAGGTAAACAATGACAACATTACTGATTGAAACATGGAATATACAGAAAACATCAACGTCAGAAACCAGATTCTTCTTATCCATGAGTTTACCAGGCAGACTATCTATATTCGCGGAGATACTTCAACCGCTTAATAGCAAGAGAAAAATCCTCATCGGTAGTGACTGTAGTTGCACATCTGCCACCAGGAATAGCAGCCATCATTTCCTTGGCCTGCTTCAACTCTGAATTCAGAACTTCTTTGAGATTGAAGTGCTCATGTTCAATTGTACGTGATTGCAGCGTACCTAAATCACAGACTTGATTAGCAACGATTACAAGGTAGAGGGCATATCCTTACGATCGACCTTGGCAAGGTACTTATTGGCCTGGACGATTGCACCCCAGAGAGCGCAGACTTCTGCCACTTTCCCAAAGGTGTCGTTGCGGACCCAGCCTAAAAGACCATTGAGGAGATCAGCCTCTGATTTGTTAGTTCTCGTGCTAGCTTAGATGAAAAGGAAATAGAGGCATGACTACCTTTGGACTCCCTAGATAGCCGGTAGAGAGTAGGAATCTCGGCTGCCATACGCTCGTAATTCATTTTGCCAATACAATAGGTCAAAGACACTATAGAAAGATGGTGTTATCAAAATAGGCAGGAGAAGAGAAAGCGTGTTATATAAACCAAAAAGAGCAGAATCAAAATGCTAGAGTGACCCTGTTCAAAGAAAGCCTTGGAATTTGGAACAAAGCACCCAGGTCGAAGTATACAAGATCTATTTTGAGAACAAAGAATTTACCCACAGAACGTTTCAACATCCGCCCGATTTCGATTTTCATATCAACGCCGAGGTATTTGACTTTTCCAGAGCCTTGGGAATATGTGACGAGGACAAAGAAAATCCATTCCTGTTAGAATGGCTGGTTGGGATAGGTCGAACAAAGAGAATGCCGACTCGGCTCTTCAAAGCTGATCACCGTAGGGGAAAAGAGAGAGAGAGGAAGAGAGAAGAAAAGAAAAGAAAAGAAACTCCCTCTGCTTCAACGCCCATTCGATATCTTCTAAATCGTTCTTCCTAGTGATTTTGCTTGAAATGGCGTCTGAAGATAATACTCCCCCGGATTTCGTGAATCGCATGGAAAAGGTGCCAGCTCCATATCTGAGTGAGCAATATGGCTACAGCAAAGACGGTAGGTTAAACATAATCCGGGATTCACCCAAAGACAAGAAATTGACAGATATTGGCAGGTCTGTCCTGCGCAATGATTGCCTGGATGCTGGATCTTGATGTCAGAACAGCCATCAAGAAGCGCGAGTTTCAACGCACATATCAGAGAATGTGCCTTTACATTAAGCATATGGAGCGTACGTTTGTTAGAAATCTAGAATCTTGAAAAGCCAGAGAATCAAGACTGATATCAATCAATAGGCCTCATGGACCAAGCCAACATCAAATATGACGCCTACACCGGCGCGGAAGACGGTCGAAGAATGAAAATCGCCAGAGATACCTTCAAACCTCAGTTGAAGGCCAGGTTCATGGCTACAGCACCGTACCCAGTCACAGCTCCTATCAGCACCGATGGAGAACTCTGCAGAAGCGTGTCGGATGCGCAGACTTTTGAATACAAGCTTCACCAGTTGGAGATCATTCGATATATGGAGAGGGTTGATGGACCGGCATTGACTGATTTCGAGACGAGTACGAGGCGGCCTAGACCTGAGACAGGCTAAATGAGGGACCATGTTTAATCCTCGGTTTGAATAGTTGAGATGATTTGGATAGTGCTTCCCTTGGTGGTACCCTTTTGTGGAGATAGGGTTTTGTCGTTGAAGTGCAATGCCGGCTGTTCTGCTTTTGAAGTTTCTCACAAGGTTCAGTTTCATTGCGAAAATGAAAGAAATGATTCAAATCAACTTTTTTCTCCCTTGTATAACTTCGATTCTGTGGCTAGGATGTGAATTTGAAAGAAAAATGTAGAGCCCCAGGCTGAACCAAGTTAGAAGACATTTCACGGTTATAGGACTCATAATAATACACAAGAGGAATAATAATGGAAAAAGATTTCGATTTCATTCAAATAAGTCTAACAGTGCTACCGCCCAAGTGGAAAATCCAGGGGTATCTCAAATGCTGGGTTGGTGGTGTATGAGACGGGCAACAAAAACATCACGAGCTATGTCCATAAGTGCTTTCACAAAACAGAATAATGAGGGAAATAGGGCCAGGCAATGAAAAAAAAAAGGAAAACGGAAAAAAGCCAAAACTCCTTGCCTTATGCTCAGGTCGTATCGGCATTGCGTGAAAAATGTAGGAGAAAATGAATGAAAGGACGAGAAATTCCGTATCGGGCAAAAGGGTCTAGGTGCCTGTACCGCTTCTCAATTCACGCATTTCTTGCAGGGCAACAGCACGACGTGCGACGACATCTTCACGGCGGACCACATTGCGCAGTGCTTCACTTGCTTGAATCAACCCGTCGATACTGATCGCGTGGTTGGTCATTTGGTGATTGATGTATGTATAGAGTGCGGCCGGCGTCGAGCAGGACGTCAGCAATTGCTGCTCATTGAGCTTGAGCAGTGCGAGAGCGACTTGGAACAGGAATGTGCTTCCACCTCCGCTGCCAGAGGCAAGATGTTCGGCAACCTTAGCGGTCTTGTCATTACCATCTTTAGTACCAGAGACATTTGATCCGGAGGCGTTGACTGCGCTGGTCACATTGAGACAGAGAACGACATCCCATACGCGATACAATGCCTCCGCGGAGAGACAGTCTGTAAAGACAGAGAGGAACCATTGGAAGGTGAGTGCCTCTAATTCAATGCCCAGTTCCTCCAAATGGGCCGAGAGTTTGGGAAGCAGCTCTGAGATATACCGGCGCAAGACCACCTGATCGGCACGAGAGGCAAGCAAGCCATGGTCGTAGTAATGCTGGGGCAAAATAATCTCGATCATCGAGGTCAGAATCCAAAACGCGTCCTCGGCAGTCGGCATGATGAGCAGCAAAGACCCTGCGATGAGGTTCATGCCCTGACAATAGCCTACTTCTGGGTTACGGCGCGAGTATGCAAGCAGAACCTCTTTCAGCTTGCCGACACCAGGCCCTTTGCGGAAGAAAACATTATCGGTAAGAGTGCGGCGTATATCCATGTCGATTTGTGCGACGACGGAAGAGTCGGGGTCCGATCCGCCAACACCATGCACAAGGTCATCATAGTAGCCAGGAATTCGCATTGCCGAAGCCCCGCTGCATTCCGACCAAGTTTTGGCGCGAAGAGCAACTGGGATGCCACCGAGTACGAGCAGCCGGAATTCTCGCCACTTCGCTCGGCCAACCTTGCCTTTGTTACCCAGACCCGCGATGCCTACAACTTCGCCGTCGGCGAGCGAGACTTCTGGCGTGTCAACGGCAGCAAGAGATCGATCGGAAGTTGCTGCAGCGGCCGCCGCTTCGCCCTCCTTTCGGCGCTCAGCACGCACTTTGCGAAGGAACTCGTTCCATTTCACAGTTCGATCGCGTTGCAGTGTGTCATGGAGATCAGTCAACTGTTCCAATAACAGTTTTACGGGCTCCATCTCCGCGACAGTGAATCTGGAAGCTGTGTCTTTGAGCTGATCCGATGACAAGCCAGCGAATTCGGGGCTGTCAGCCGTGATAGCTGATGTAGACGCCGATGGTTGTGTGCTGGAGCCGACGGCCAACGCCCCGTCTTTGTCGTATGAAACAGACGAGCTATGAGAGCGATTCTCTCCTGCAGTGGTCAAAGCGACAATCGGGCCGGCGGAGGGCGTGTGGGACAATAGCTCCGTAGGACGAGACGGAATCCTCAGATAGTCCTGCCAGCGACGGATGGCAACGACCCCACTGTCAGGGTCATCTGGTGAGTCAGGCAGAGAACGCGAGGCCTCGGAAGCGCCCTGCCGAAGTTTTGTGATTTCGGGGTCATCCTCATGATCTGACGCATCAGTTCGAAGAGTACCGAGAGTTTCTGTTATACTCAAACGGTGAATGCTGCCCTTGGTCGTATTGGCTTCTCTCTGGCGCTTCTTTCTATGTTGATCATAGATAAAACCGAACCGGTCAGTGAGTAACTCACCCGGTTGGGAATTGTTATAAATAGGGGTGAGCGTCGGAGGCTTTGACTCCATGGGCAAAATGGCGTCCATCTCAACGGGCCCAAGATTTGTGGAGCTTTTATCCGTAGTCTCCGATGCCACGCCCTGAGACACGCTTCCAGCTGCAGTCCGTCGCGAGGCGGGAGGGTTCATTTTACCCTGGGCGCTTGATCCACTGGCAGATCGTCCAGTGCTAGGCATGCTGATATTGCTGTTGATCTTCTTCAGTGCGGCCACTGCCGACATTGAACCCTTAGAATTGCCAGACAGAGTTGACGAAGCACTTCTGTCTCCGTCCGGCCTTTTGTGTTGGGGTTGATTGTGGGTCGACTCAGCATCACTTGCATCTTTGCTCGACTGGGGATTTCCAGCAAATAACTTAACAGTCCAAGAGCCGAGAGATCGTGAAGATTTGCGAGAATGAATGCTTGCATCGTCGCCATTTGCGGACGTGCTAGCAATGCGCTTCGCCGGTCCATTTCGTGCTGGGCCATCCGGAGGCTGGAATAGCTGCTCGTCAAGCGCTTTGCGCCGCATTGAAGGATTGCTGGGCACTCGGGGACGCTCAGCGTCTTCTTCTCCAAGTTCACCAACATCACTCATAATGCTACTGGCGCGACTGGTTTTCCGGCTTGTATTAGTCGAGCCAAAAAGGTACTCCTGCCAGCCCCGAATCGAGCTTTGACGCTTTCGGTTGTCAGTGGCTCCGCTGCCTCGGGGATCATTGTCTAGCCGCTGGGCACGAATCGTGGCCTGGGCTTCTGCCGAGTCACCATGGGCCCGAGAGCCAACGGTGTCTTCCATCGCTTGAGACATCAATCCATTCAGGCCGGAATAGGCTTGACCAGCATAATCGCTGCTATGAGTGCTTTCCGCATCTGAGACACGATCGCCCGGCGGGTTCTCCAACTGATATAGACGGCGTTCAATGTCTTGGTTAGACACAGATACATCTCGTAGCATTCTCTTCAGCTCTCGCTCCCTTGCATCTGCGCGTTGGCGGAGGGCCGAGATCTCAGCATCGCGTTGAGCAAGATCGCGAGCAAACTGTCTCACCATCTTCACAGCCCCTGTCCCAGCAACCAGCCGTTCAATGTGCGCATCATCGGCCAAGTGCAGGGCACCTGGTATATCATGTGTCGGGACGGAATCGGCGAATAGGGCAGCTCGGCCTGATTTGTGCGACGGCCCAGTCGTCAAATTTGCTAGCGTAGCTTTCCTTCCACGGCCCGTCCTACCCCCATTTGATTGCGCTTCGTCTTCGCCGGAGAACAATGTATTCGTGAGGCCACGGGCGAGGGTTGGAGATTTGTCTGGCGGTGAAAGCGACGGGAACGAGGTCAAATCGGTTGTTGTATTGGAGGAGCCTGAATGGCGTTTCTGCACTTTGGCCCGAACGATTTTAGCATTTCGACTTCTGCTCGAGGCGCTTGACGCTTGGGACGAAGAACGCCGCTGGGAGTGTATGTCGGAATCTGCCATGACTCAACAACCGGGCAATGGCGTGAACGGTGGAATCGTTGATTAATGGCTTCATGAAGGCTTTTCTTAGAGCTTTCGGAGCTGTGTGAATTGGAAACGGTGTCCGGGCTAGAGAGACAAACAATCAACTAGATTATGTAGCTTCCGATACTTGGCTCGTCTGGTTGCGCGTGCTTGGCGATCCTTGCTGTAGTGATCCGTGGATGGAATGAAGGGAGATCGACAGTGATTTTCGGGGGCGGGCATGAATTTCAACCCTAGATACCCTATTTTAGGGCCAACAAAGGCATCGGAAAACAAAGAGCATAGATTTGGGTTGTTCTGAAACCCACACAGACAGCTTTGATACCCTACGGCACATGACGTGACCAGGTAAGTATCATGTGACTCAATGCGTATATATGTACCACGTGACTGTAGTGCAATGCTGGTACCTATGCCCTGCCGTAGTCCTGGAGCCTCGGCTCTCCGCATAACCGACATAGTGGGGAAAGCTGATGAGCTGTTATAACTACACAGCTGCCGCAATTGAACCTGTTCTTCTAGCACCTTCAATTCGTTTTTTTATATATCAAACCCCCTTTACAATCACTCATAGCTTTATAATTATGTCTGCAGCAGCAAAGCAACGTCTTCAAGCCCTGAGCAAGCAGCTCGTTGAGGGTATTCCCTCCGAGGGCACGTTCGAGGATATCCCCAAGATCCGTCATGTTGCCCCTGATTCTGCAGGACCGTAAGTAGTCTTGAAGCTTATAGCTCTATTCTGGTTACATCAGCTTCTCGAATTGCATACATTGCAGGATTGGGTGCATGACTAACGTCTGAATGTGCAGCCGGGTCAAGGATAAGGTAGTAATCGTGACCGGTAAGTACTATTTCCTAACGCCATTTCAAAGGCCCCATACCAATTAAAGCCCAGGCGCAAACTCTCCCAATGGCATTGGCCGTGCTAGCGCGCACCAATTCGCCAACAATGGCGCCAAAGCAGTCTACATCTGCGACTTCAGCAACACCCATCTGGCAACGCACAAGCGGGAGCTGGAGTCCCTCTACCCAAACGTAGACATTCATGTGCGCTCATTTGACGCGGCCGACGAGAAAGCCCTGAGTAAAGTAATCGACGAAGCAGTTG